GGGCCACCACTAACTAAAATGAGGGTGACCCGAACACAAACACCTCACACACAAGACGGTCAACCTGATAACCGAGAGGGCCGCAAAGGGACTGACGAGGGTTTCACACAGTGTGCCCACACTGGGCAGAGCAATGATTCACATCCTAGGCAGGACAGAGCAGGGTGACGAGCGATTGTATCATACTACCCAGAATGCCACGCAATTGAAAACTGACAAATTGTTAATTTTTGAAATTTTTCATTTCATATTTTGGACTATGGCTGAATGTGGGGAAAACAAAACCACGGATAAGGGGGGACTACTGCACCTTTATTTACTGATGAGGAAAATGAAGCACGGGGGCTAATTAAGTAACTTGCCCAAGGTCACACAGCTATTCAGTGGTGGAGCTGGGGTGTGAATCCAGATAGTCAGCTAGTAACCCTGAGGGGTCAGGCAGGGGGGTGGGAGGGCTATTTGGCGACAAGGAGAGAAGCCAAGGCTCTGGAACGTAGCCCCCAGGCCACTGCCAGGGAGGCAGCCACAGGGGTGGAGACTCCCCCAGAAGGTAAACTCCACAGGGGCAGGACTGTTATGTTGTCTTTTCTACTACTGTATCCTCTGAGCCTAGAACACGGACTGGCGCATAGTAGGTGCTCAATATATATATTTGTTAAACGAGTGATTGAATTAACTGGAGTGCACGAGGGTGTGTTCTCTGGCCTGAACTAACTCATTCTCTGGTGTCCTTCCTTCAACCTCCCCAGCATCATTCTGCAGCTGGGCTTTAACTAAATTCATCAGCAACAAGGTGGAAGCATTTATCTATCCAGCAAGAAGATGGCAAGCAGAGTCAGACCCCAGCAAGAGTGGGGCTTCGTAGGGTCAGGGGGTGCTGAAACCAGCCCCATCCAACTGGTGTCAGGGGGTAGGGGATGGGGCTGGTCACCACGCTGTAAGGACAGAGGACAGGGGCTGAAGGTCCTGGGGGCTGGGGCTGGGGCGAGGTGAGGGAGTCATCCAATAGCTCCCTCGTCCAAGAAGGCAGAGTGAGGGGAGTGGGGCTGGGAGAGTCCCTGGGGTGACCAGAGAGACTGTTCTTCCTGCAGGAAGGGGAGGCCTGTCCCCTCTGGAAACTCTCCAAGAGAGCAAAAGGCAGACCGTGTCCTCTCCCAGGCAGAGGCCCCTGGAAATGTGGGGCTGACCTGGGTGTGAATCTGGAGGGGTCTCTCTACTGCCAACACCCATCGCCTACCAGCCTCGGTCTCCCCACCTGCCGAAACTGACACCTACTCTGAACATATGAAAAGTACCTAACACACTGCGAGCACTGAATAAATGTACCTGCAGTCAGAGATGTGATCGTATGTGTTTGTCCGGAAACCAGACCCTGTAGTGACTTGAGACCCAGGGGGAAAGACAGGCCTAGGTGAGAACAGGGACACTGTCCCCAAGCTTCCTTGCACCTGCCACCTCTTCCCAACTTTCCCTGTTGAGCAGTGAAGACCGTCCTTTCTCGGTCTGATCATTTGGCTTCCTCAGACCACAGGGTGACTTCTCCAACATTGAGGACCAAAAAAAATATATGATGGGTGGACAGAGGAACTGGACAAATGGAGTCCAGGGACCTGGGGGAGAGGGAAGTGTGTGTTAAAAAGCTCTCTACAGACAAAGCAGAGGTCGGGAGAAACAGAGGTACACCTAAGATGTTCTGCCTCGCCCCTCACCCCTCACCCCTCAGAAGGCCCATCTCTCCTCATCTCTGTAACCCAGAGGCTCCCAGTCGCCCTGACCAGCCTCCTGCACAGCCAAGCAAGGCAATCAAGACGCAGAAAACACAATGCTACACAGCGGTGACCCCCTGTCCCTGCACTGTGCTCTTTAAGTGAAGCAGAGCCTGGGGACCATGGAGACGTCTCTGAACCCTAGTTCCAACCTCCTGACATGCTGCCTCCACTTCACCAGGCGGCCAGTGCCCACCCCCGGCCCCGTCTCTGTGCTGGGCTCTCCGTGTGTGTCCAAGTCTGTCTGTATGTCCATCCAGTCCAGGCCCCACAAGCGAGTGGGTAGGGGAATCTCAACAGAACAGACTGAGCACTTTTCAGGCAAGTATTTGCCGTTTGGGCTTATTTGAAACAATGGTTTCAAGTTCTTTAACAAAGGAAGCTCACAGAAGGATACAGGGTGGAGGGGGAGGACCCAGATCCTACATATTGGGACCCCCGCCTCCAGCTCCCTGCAGCAGTTTTTGAGGGGGAGTGGAACAGGCTGAGGGTAGTGAGCACCACTGTTAGTCCCTGTCTAGTCCCCCTCCGTCTGATGGGGGCTGCTGGCAGATCCCAAGTATCCTACAGAGAAGGCGAGCCCCTGTTAACTTATCACAGAGTTACTTACAGAAAGTTTAACTCTCCTAGCTAATCTTCAATTATCTTCACTCCCTCACTTTCCAGCTCCCTGATGAACTAAACTTCCTGAGCTTTCCCTCAGGGGGTGCTGGGATTGTTTTCAGGTGAGGAAACTGAGGCCTGGGGGCCTTAGACCCCACCCGGCCACTGAGGCAGTGGCTCTCAGTTCAGGCTGATACGATGCCTGAGTGGCCCTCGGGCACAACAGGCTCCACAGGTGATTCTGTCCTGCGGCCACTGCTGTGGTGGAGAATGAGGGGTGTGGGCGCTGGACTCAGGCCTTTTATCTCCTTGAGAAGGGAGGATTTGAGGGAAGAGGGAAGGCATCCAAGGTATTCACTGCCCTCCGGCCTTAGCCCAGGTGACCAGGGTGTGGCTCAGGCGCAGGCCCAGTTTATGAGCAAGGTCCTGGCGAGGGCCCAGTGCATTAGGCTGATATCGGCACCCGGGGCAGGTCCAGCTCGGCCAGGCCCTGTCTCTCCCAGAGGACTGGGTGTCTAGGGGGGCAAGTGCAGCGGACTAAGGGGACAGGGTGAGACGTCTCCATTGAGAACAGACCTCAGCTATTGCAACAAGGACTTTGTTAAATTTTCAGATTTGCTCCAATATGTACTCAGATAGTTATGTTTTTAGATGAGAGAAGGAAAGACAAACTGTTGCCCCAACCCCCAAAACCCAGGCAACCTCATTAGGCAACAGGGAAGGTGGGACACCATCCCCACCCTCACATACACCACAGGGGTCACTGTCACCACTACTGCCTCTTAACCTGGTCTGCACGTCGAGGTCATCTGTGCGAGCCTAGGAAAATACTCACTCCTTGGCCCTCCCTGGAGTCAGCAGAAAGGCCACAGATGCCTGACTGTCTCGTCCACCTCTGTGCCTTCCCACCGCCCGCCCTCCCGGGCCGTCTCTCAGCAGCCCTTGCGGAGCCCAGAGGCACTGGCAGGTCTCACGCTCACAGGGACCAGCCCAAGCCAGATGTGAGCGCATTTTCAGCAGAAACCTCTGGGTTTCCGACTTTCTCAGGCCTGGGAGCCCTGTCCTCACTCAGAAGGGACAATGAAAACAAAGGAGGTGACCCTGCCCCCATTGTTCTCAGGCTGGGACGGTAACCCCCTGGCAGCAGGGCGCCCCTCCCGTGGGAGTCCAGAGCTCTGCAGGGCTGGCTGACCTGGGAGGGCTGCAGGTTTGGCAGAAGCAAACAGGGAAGGCCCGGAGGGGTCTGAGTTCAGGACGGGAGCTCAGCAAGCATTCTGGGGCACCTGGCGGCCCGGCCGACGGGTTCGACTGGAGCTCTCTATGCCGGGGAGCACAGGGAGCTTTTGGGGCCCGGGCCCACAGCACTGCTGTGCGAGAGGTGGCCCTGGGAGCAGGAAAGAGCCTCCTCCGGCCCAAACACACCAGATGACCCTCTGGAGCTGTGTTCTCAAAATCAACCCCTGCGCCATCTTCTAAAGGACTCAGGGCAGGTGCTATGTCCGGAGACTTAAACGACAAGAGGGACATCCTCCTTCCACCGGCAGCTTCTCTGACGGCAGATCACAACTACTGCCCTGCTCTGGAGTAGCTGTGGCCCAGCCCAGGGTCCTGCACTGCTGTCTCTTCCTCCCTGTCTGGATGCTGTAGCCTGGGGTCTGGGCTTAAGCCCTGGCCCCTTCCCGACTCCCAGAATCCACATTCCAGAAGTGCCTGACGTCTTTCTGTTTTCACTGATGCCAAAAGGTGCCTCTCAACTATTGGATCAATAACTTGAGGGCAGGAAATTTTTCAGCCCTCGAGCACATCAGGTGGGCAGAACAGCCCCCTCCCCCTTCCCCATAGGGGAGTGGGTCGCTAGGCAGTGGGAGGTCCTGCATAGGACTTGGCTCCTGGCTCCTGTCCAAGCAGGACAGCAGACCTCTCTGGCCCCCATTCAGCTCCTCTGAGAGGGACTACAGACAGCATCCGGTCCGCACCTCCCCATCCCTGCCAAAACTCCACGTCATCAGGCAACTTGCGTGCCTACACACTCGTCTGGTCCTAATCACTTGAGACTTAAGACGCTGTAGGGAAGACAGACAAAATGGGTTACCACTCCCATTTGGTGGCTGAAGAAACTAACCAGAGAGGGCTAGTGACCTGGTAAAAGTTACACAGCAAGCTGATAACAAAGCACAGAGAAGAACCAGCCAAAAGTCACCAGTCCGTTGAGGGCCCTTCCTAACAAATAACCAGACCACCCAGCCCTGCTCCTGGGACCCGGCTAAGAAATGCCAACCAAAGCAGAGCAGGTAGACACAGGTGACAGGTGACAAAGAGCTATAACAGGATTGAGCAATCACACCCATGATCTAATCTCAATGTTATTTAGGATTGGTGCTCCTTGCCCCCAACTCCTGGAGATGCCTTAGGTTACCCCGATCTTACAGGGTGAAAGAAGGAACCATGGGAAGTCACCAGCCACCCGAAATTTCTAAAAACAGCCTTTGAGCGGGCCACAAAGGAGGTCACAGAAACTGCTGACTTGCCATCGCACCATCTGGGCAGATGACCTGAGGGAGATTTGGTTCGGTGTCAGCCCAGCTGCCCCGCCCTGTGCCAGCTTGCTTCCTGCAATCCAGAGCACAGCTCTGCACTTTGGCCTGCCCCACGACACAAGCCGGGATGGCCAGTCCACCTCCAAACTCACCAACGTCAATGTGGGGACCCTCTGCCAACAGCATGGGGCAGAGGGGAAAGGCCCAGGCTCTGGGGCAGACACATTTGGGTTCGAATCCTGGCTCCGCCAGCCACCAGCAGGTCACCTGGGACATGTCTTCTCACCACCTCTCTGAGCTTTACTTTCTGTCCTAGACCCACACAGTGGAAAGTGGGGGTACCAAGACTTCATCGGATCGGGGTACAGATTACATAAAATGATGCAAGGCTCGGTCCTGAGCAGAAAGGTGAGTGTGGGAAGGACAAGGGCTGGGGAGGCCAGCTCCGTTCTGAAGGCTTGTGCCCGCTGCACAGGGGACCCCCGGGGCTGTGGGTGAGAGCTGGGCCAGCTGTCGACAGCTCTGCCCTACTCCTGGCTACCAGCACCCACAAGGCTGGGGCTTGGAACTGTACTTATTACCACATGACATTCTTGTGGGTTTCTGTTATCTAACCTATATCTCCTGAAAATAGACTGTGAGTGCTGAGGGCAGAGACTTCACTCATCCCTTTTCCCAAAACAGAGCCTGGCACTACCGGATACTCAATATTTGCCAAATAAATGACCAAGTCTCCAAAGATGTATGCCTTCCGCCATGTCTCCTTCCGGGGCACAGAAGTGGGTACGGTGTTATACTGAACATGGGTATGGGTTCTGGTTCTGGTTCTGGCCCCGCTGGAGGAGGTGGGCCACCCTGGCAGGTACGGGCAGCGCAGTGATGTCTCTGTGTTTCTCTGCCTCAGTGCCTTTACCCCGCCTCACCCCCCTACCTGTCCACCAGGCCAGAGCCGCCCGAGATCCCAGCCCTGGTGAGTCAGCAGCGCTGCAGACTTTGGAACCATCAGGAAGGGGGTGGGGGCCCTCAAGGGAAGTCACAGTCAGGGGCCGCAGGTCTCCCCAGACCTCTGCTTCCCTGCTCCTCCAGCAGTGGAATGAAAGGATACTGCGCTCCACAAAGCTCTCCTATAAGCCCTGGTGGGTGCCAGCCTTGTTCCTGGGCCCCCTGCAGGGGCTCTGAGGCCAAGACTCCGCCATCAACACCCCCAGACTCCCGCTACCATGGGAGGGAACCTGCCCAAACCTCGCCACTCAACCCTTCCTATAAACACCCACACCCTTGAGAGAAGGGTTGTGGTTGACACCCCACCTCTTGTCCCAAACCACCACAAACCCCCCTCCACCCAGGGCCTCCAGAAAGCGGCCCATGAACCTGCCCCTTCCTCCTAGTCATCTCTCCCTTCACCTATGGCTGGCGGCTCTGGGTAATAAGTAAACCACCCACCCTTGAAGGCTAGAGTTCTGATAATTAGGAATTATTAAACCTACCCATTTTTTAATAAGTTGCTCAGGATGACCTGATGGTTAAACTGTAAACCTCTTTACTAATTAAAAAATCGAAAGCCCAGGGTGTACTGTGCAGTGGTATTAATCCTGCAGCAGGGTGGGCAGCTGCATTTCTCTACTCCTATGAAGTAACCTCCCTGCCTGTTTATCACGAAACACCCCTTCCCACCCCAACCTGGCCTGCTGCCTCCAAGCATGGCCCCACCCCTACCCCTCTCCACAAAGCCCCCCACAGGACTCTCCTGAGGGGCAACCACCTGTCACCATACCCTTCCTTATTATCTGACTCTCCCCCGAGTCCCTCCAGCTGCAGTCCAAGCCCATTTCCTTTGGTTCACTCTCCAGCTGGAGATGGACGACAGCTGGCCTCCATGCGCCCTGGAAGAAATTGTGGAAGAGACTACTGGCAAACTGGCACAGGCATTCTGGGATGGGCGGTACTCCTTGTGGGCCAAGGGAGCCCCCCAAAGTCCAGATCAAATCCCACTGAATCACAACTGGAGGCAGCAGCCAAGACAATGATGCCCCACAACTGTAATCAGGGGGCCAGTTACCAGGGGCATGTTGCCCTGATGTGCAGACTCCCCACAGCCTGAGCTGCCACAGACCTCACACCATGGCAGCTGCACTGGGGGCTCTGACTACCACGACCCCATTTGGATGAAGATCACAGGAATGAGACACAAAGAGGACCCCCAGATAGTGTGGGAAAGGAATGGGAGCCTGATATATGCAACCAGTGAGCTGTGGGGACAGTCCCCCGCCCACCTCCCATCCCCAGCCAACCAGGCGTGAACGTGACCGGGGTGAAGAAACAGAGCCGTTTTGTGCTGAAGGTATGGAAAAGTACAGAGGCTTCCTAACACAGGAACGCTGGGCTGATGTGAGGGGTGGTGTGGGGATTGGAAAAACCTGTCCCCAACCTGGGGCCCGAGACCAGGGACAGGCCAGGGGGGACAGGAAATGGAAACTCTCTGGGTGGCCCAGCAAGAGAATCTTGACTGAGACAGCCTCATTGCCGAAGGCAGGAGGCAGAAACTCAGGACCATGCCTTTGACACACACTCTCTTCCTTATTCACAGAGGCTACGATTTCCAAGGCTGCTTAATCCCTGATGCCCACCAGACTCTGGTGGCCCTCTATCCTCTCAGCAGAGTGCTGGGGCTCTCTCCCCCAGCCCCACTGTCAGGACCTCAGTTTCTTCACGTGTAAAATGGGAACAGTGCTGCATCCTTGCCCGCCCCCATAACACACACACTTCTCAAGACACTGAGACCAAAGGCTTGATGGATGTGAACATGAAGAGCACAAGGCAGGCACACAGGCAAAGCTAAAGATGCTCCCAATTTCTGAATTCCTAGCTTCTAAACCCTGGCATGGTCGAGGTGGGGTTTCTTTCAGCCTCCCAGTGCATTGTGTGGGGCCAGGGGAGATAGGAAACAAATGCCACCAGATTACCAAGTCACCTAGGGGTGGGGAAGAGGAGCAAGACCCAGTTCTCTTGTGACTGCATCCTGTCCCCGGGGAACTCATTTTCCACAAAACGCTGTGAGTGGCGGGTGGGGTGGCCAGTTCTCAGGCTCATCCAGCGAGGCCCATTCATCCTCGAGGCTGCTGCAGCAGGCCGGTTCCAGGCTGCTGAGGGCTAAGCAAGTGACCTAGCAGTGGGCATCCAGGGCACAGCCTGTCCTCTCCTCCATGTGCCACCTTCCAGGAAGAAGGCGACAAGGGTTCCCATCACCCTCGCTCCCACCTTGGGGTCCTGGGCCATTCCCCTCTTGGGAGGGGCAAAAGTGCCTGCCTATTACAAATGCCACCTCTAGCCAGGCACCAAGTCCCAACCCACACGCAGAACAATGCATCCAACATAATTTAACACAAAGAAAGATGGGATGAGAGTCATGGACAACCTTTTTTAAAAAACTGTGCAGCTCAAAGTTGGGTCAATTGATTCATGAAGTTTTTGCTAAGCACCAGCCGTGTGTCCTGATGCTGTGGGCTACACAAGGGAGTGTAAGACCGAGGCCCCTCCAGTCTAACAAGATGCAGGCAGGCAGACAGGAGCTACCTGACAGCGGAAGACAGAAGGAAAAGGCAGCAGGCAAGCTGACGGTGAGTCCAGGACAGTCCCTAGGACCCACACCATATTCCTTTCAAGTCCAAGCAAAAGGGCCCAAAGTAGGACAAGAAGCCCAAACACTGATGGGGAAACTGAAGCTCAAAGCCATGAACAGACTAGACTGGAGCTATCCTGCCAGTCAAATGCTCTACCTGCTGTGGAGCTGCCCGCTCTGCCTCCCTACTCTCATCCTCAGATCTTCCACCTTTCCCGGCCCAGGACCCTTACCCTGGGCCCAATAAGTGACCTAGGAAAGCCCTGCCATTTCGTCAGTCACCCCTTTCTTCCATGCTGTCGGGATTTGTGGCGCAAAGATACATTCATATCGCTCATCCCACAGGGCAGATGTGCCCATGTGGCCAGCAGATTCATCTGACCTGCGACCCTGAACCTTAGGAAAAGCTTTCTTCCAAAGGACTGGGGAATAGTATGCATGACACTGCAGACTGGTGGCCTGAGGTGCTGGGGTTAGAGATCTATGAAAAAGGATTCGTTTTCTACAGCCTGTTCCCACCTCCAGTGGAGCCAAGGATGACCGGCGACGCTGGGTTGGGCCCTCCTGCCAAACATGAACTCCCAAACACATACTCATCTGAGTCTGGTGGGCCAGACAGGGCACGGCAGCCAGTCAGTAGGCCTCTGAAAACCCCGTGTTCTGTAAACGGGACCAGTGGGTGTGCTCACCTAGAGAAAGCTCGCAAATTTCCCAGTGAGTGGGATGGGGAAACCTCCCATGCGATCTCAGCGCACCCTCCCCCTCCAAAGCTGCCAGGCCAGGCCAGGCCTCCCCTCTCCCACCCCAGAGCAGGCAGGGAAATTTGCCTGGGCACCCAGGGAAGCTGGGGTGCCGGTGGAAATATCGACAGACCCCCCCACCAATCCTCCAGGGCTCTCCATCAGAGCCCTGTGTTGATGGGACGCTCTGTATCCGAGCAGTCCCCTGTGGCTGCCGAGCCCTTGAAATGTGGCCAGTGTGACTGAAGATCTAAACTTTAATTTTATGAATTTTAATGCAAACCCTTCCCCAGGCAGGGTCTGCCTCCCCTGGGCCTTTAGGTTTGCCCAAGCCGAGGTCCACAGTGGGCTCCCCTGCATGGTCCCGGGCCATCCCAAGCCTTCCCTGTGCTTGCTTTTTTTGTTAATCTGTAAGGCAGGGCAAGATTTTCTGGGGCTCCACAGGACTTGGGAGACCTGGGTACACACAGAGGCAAAGATAATACTCGTCCACAGGGCTCTGGATGATTTCCTCTACCCAGGGGACACTGCCTCCAACCCTGGGGGCAGCCTCCGGAGCCCCTTGGCTCTGCCAGGCCGCTGCTGAGGAACCACACTCTCTTCATGTGACCGTCAACTCCTGCGCCCATCTCACACTTCCAGGTCTGCAGACCAAAGGCCCACCCGGTATCCCTCCCCCCGAAAGTCTTTAGTGGTTATAGAAGGAAGGGATGCCAGTTCTCAGTGTGTGTTCTGTTAAAACCATGTTCATCTGTGTTTTTTTTGTGTACACTGTACATTAAAAATAGCCAGTACAGCCCTGACCGGTGTAGCTCAGTCGGTTCAGTATCATCCTGGGAAGTGAAAGGTTGCTGTCTTGATTGCTTGATAGCACGTGCCTGGGTCTCGGGTTCGGGCCCCACTTGGGGTGTGTACAAGAGGCAACCAATCTATAGTTCTGTCTCATGTCAATGTTTCTCTCCCTTATCTTTCTCCCCCCCCTTGCCCTCTCTCTAAAAACAAAATTTAAAAATCCTTTGAAAATTGCCAGTGTGGAGAGGGCCAATGATATATGTATTATCTTACCCTCTTAGAATACTCAACTTTGTTTTTTTGAAAGCCATACAACAGCATCACAGAAAACTGGGGAGGCAGAGAGAGACAAAGGCGTCGGTAACCGCCTGCCACTCCGCAGCGCGTTGATTTTCCACCCGTCCGGTTTCCCTGACCCAGTGCTAACGGGGACCTGCACACAAACCTGAGCCGCCCTTCTGCCTTCACCTGGGGCTTGTTTTTGTGCGACTTCAAGTCTGGCTCATGACTCAGACCAGCGATTTTCAAACGGTGTGCCGTGGCAGGCACACCGGCGTGCCATGAGAATTTTTAAAACACGCACTACCGGAGTATTTAGTCAGGAGCACTGACCTCTTTGCCCTTAGACTGTCACCTAAAAAAATGACAACACAGCAACAGCTGCCTGGTATGAATGAATCAAAATCATATCAGCAAAACATACATTTCTGGTGTGCTTCAGTAACTAGTTTATGTGTGACGCGAGATGAAAAAGGCTGAAAATCGCTGGCTTAGACAGACCTACTTTGATAAACACCAAACTGAGACACCAGGAAGCCGCCCCACCCCCACCACGGCGGCTTGTGCCCTTCGTAGCTCTGCTGCAGGCTGCCTGAGGGTTTCTCACTCCCCAAGCCAGAGCCCAGCAAGTCAATGGATAAGCAAGGATTAAACTGTGCAGAGGAGCCGGGAGAAGTGTGGAGCAGTGGGTACACGGTTGGGAAAGCGGCTTCAGGAAGGGGAAAGTTTAAGATGTGCACACTGACCCTAACAAAGCAGGTGGAGGGAGATGGGGAATTCCGAAAAGAGAGGGCAAACTACAAAAATAACCCGAATCTGAGAACTCGCAAGTCCCTGCATGCTTGGTGAGCACGGAGCCCCCTGGAACAGGATCCGAAAGTGCCCATGGTGTCCTTCCCAGACACCCTCCTCCCCAGCCCCGGCTCTCAGGGTTCTGTCCTGGGTCTGGACAGACGTGAACCAGGGAGTCGGTGACACACTTTGCCACACACCCTATCGACCTGCCCCAGGAGAACGGAGTGTCCCCAGGGAAGAGGGCACTGTACATGCAAGAGGTGAAAGTGGGGGTGGGGAGGACAGTCCCAGAGTGCTCGCCGGGTGAGGGCAGAATCCAGCTTGCTG